TTTTTAGAAAAGGTAACACAGTTTTAGCTCTTCTGACACATTTATGCTTAAAAACTTATGATGTAAAGTAAATTTAGCCAAGATTAAAAGTTTTATCAATACCTATAATGCTTAGATTATCGAATGTTGGGATCTGAAGATATTACCGATTATTCCTCTTCAAAGACAATCTTACATTCAATAGAAGATAAATCTAAATTGTCCAAATTCACTCCTAATTTTTAAAAAAATAACTCATAAAAACCACAAGCATTGCTTGTGAACTCTGCGATCAAATTGTAAAGGTGCACTATCAAACCACCAGTAATTTCCTTAAACATATGAAGATATATTTAAATATTAACTTTTTTTATCCAAAATAGGTCATCAAGTGACTTATATGATTTAATTGTAAATTTGTTATAAACAGCATTGTTATCTATAGAAAGGCTATTTAGCTTAGTAGCTTTGCTAAATAGATATTTTAGAAGATGTTTAAATAACGAACTGTTTGACAAATAAACACTTTAAAAAAAAGTTATACGTTTTTTAAAAATTATTAAAATCATTTGCTGTTTAGGATAGAAAAAAGCTTTCATTGTTACTGCCCATTATATCTATGTATATTTAAACATCATAAATGATAATCTATTTTGTAACTCAGAATTTGATTGCATTTCTTAACATCAAATGTATAAATATAATGTTTATAATAATTTATATGCAAATGGTCATATGATATTATTATACTTATATTGAATGAGTAAAATCTTAATATTTTTCAAACGTGAAAAAATTGTAATAAAGAAAATATTATTATATTATATGGTATTAAATAAAGTTTCTCGTTATTTTTTATGATTAGTTTAATTTTAATATAAAAGGAATTGTAATTTTGCAATTATAATTACTCTAGAAAATCATGATTAGGGGAGACCGGGGTTATGGCGAACCCAAAAAGTCAAACCTTAATAAAATTAAAAGTACTTTATCATTTTTAATAAAAAATATCTCATTTTGTTCAGCTCTATTAGTTTTATGGTAGGTTTAAATAACAAAAATACATATCTAGTACTTTTTTCATAATTTTAATTTTTCTGGAATTTTTTTTTGGAAACGAGTGAACCCTACCCGGGGACGAACGAGCCTTTGCTCGGGGCTATTATAAGCTCTGCTTAATTTTCTACATAAAAGTTATATATTTTTTTATTAGAACATATTTATTGATTTAAAGCATAAAACTAATATATAAAATCATTTCTAAACAAAAAATGGGAACATTATTCACAATCTTTGCAAATAAAAAAGGGATTGAAATTGCAACAACTTCCATGAGACCAATAACCACATTTACGACATTGAAACCAGTCTTGATTGTTATGATGCTTGTAATAATTTTTTTTGCACACCAAACAATTGTTTTTCTTATTAATACCATTTTTTGATTTTTTTCTTTTATTTGCTCTCTCCATGGCTTTTTTTTTATATGGTGAAGAAGTTAAAATAGCAGAATATTGTTTATTTTTTCCAGACTTTTTATAAAATGTTGGGCATGGAAAAATTGATTCTGGGTCAAAATTTTTAGAGGTTGTTGGCTCATTTGAATAAGAATGGATGATTTCGGACTCATCTTGTCTAATTCTCAATGAAATATCATTACTATCATTATTCTCAATATTAAAATTGTTATTATTATCAATAGTTTCCTCATAATTTAAGGTATTGGGTATATCATTTACTAATGTATTATAACTTTCATCATTAAAAATTATAGGAATAAATGGCCAAATTCCACATGATTTAAAACCATTTTGAACTATAGCTGGAGCACATGCTTTAGGTAAAATTTCCTTGACTATACCTGGTATATCATAGATTGTAAAATGTTTACCAGAATTATTTCTCATCCATGAGTCAACTGAAGAGTTATAATATCTCTTTAATGGGCCAAACACTGTTTTATCCAAAGGTTGTAGTTTATGGGTACAATGTGGTGGGAGAGTTAATAATATTATCCCTTCTTCCAAACAAAAGTCAATAGCTTTTATGGATTGGTGAGAAATATGATTATCCAATATAATAAGGACCTTTCTATCTTTTGCAGGTTTAGCATGTTTGGCAAAATGATTTAAGAAAATTAAAAAGTCATCCTCTAACATCCAGCCTGAACCATTTGATATACCAATAGCACCAAGTGGTCCATCTCTTAAAAAGTGATCATAATATTTTTTCCTAGGATATATAAACATTGGTGGTATCAAGTTGCCCAGTGCATTGTGCAATTGCTAAAGTCATAAGGGTTCCCCTCTCACCTGATGTGATAGCTCCAACTTGTTTTTGGCCTTTCATGGCTAAAACTTTAGCAGGCTTCTGAACAGTTGTTAAACCTATGATAATAATATTTTAATATAATAGCATAGTAATTTTATATTCATTAAAATTAAATTAGAATTTTATAGGACAACATATAAATGTCAAGATTATAATCACAATACTGAGTGATATATTACTATCTTAACAAAATATTAATGAATCTTAGATTAAAAAGTAGGGTTTTAATATTATATATAATTATATTTGTATATAAATTCATTAATTTTATGTCTAATTCTGACATTTTAATAAATTTTCATTTCTTATATGCCTTACATAAATCAATATTTTACCTGTTTCATCCATATTGAAGATCTCATTTGCAGTAAGTCTTGTAGTATCCAAAATATTTTTAAGATTATCAAAAAAATTTTCTACATTATCCTTATTAAAATTAGTAGCCCTTGCAAGGCTGGTTGCTTCAGGGCTCCTCAGTGATATAGAGGGATTTCCTTTAAGAAATGCTGCTAACCAATCTTCACCAGCAGATTTGTTATTTTGCCAAGAATTTCGTACTTTTAGATTATATTTACATGAAAGTTGATAAGCTAATTTTCTGGCCTTTATTAAAATAAATTATTAACAATAACATTTATTGAAAAATTTACTTTTTTAGGACAAAGCCCATTATACATATTTGCTGCTTAAAAATCTGTCTTGTACTGGATATAATAAAATTTTGTTTTCTCTTGAATCTTGAGTTAATCTCTTAACTGTGGTATAACTAAGATTTGTAATGCTCATAATATTGATTAATGATTTATTTTGGGAAAATATCATCATCAATTCTTCCTGAGAAAATTTTTTGGTTCTGGGTTTGTAATTTCTAACCATGTTAAAATTAAAAAAAAAATGTTCGACCTAACCTCATAAAAATAGCCCCAATGCCACCATTTTGATTAAGATCATATTTTAAAGTATTTATAATATCATTTTTTTTTCTGGAAAATTGATATTCTATAAAATAGAATTTTTTCTTTTATATAAGATAATTTTTGGGTGGTAAAAATGTCTATTTATCTTTATTTTTGAAAATTAGTAAAGTTTTAAAAAGTTACTTTTGCAGGTACAAATCAGATAATGCTTTATAAAAATTCTTCAAGCTGCCCGATATAAATAAAAATTATTGCCGCATATGCATTATATAATTATATAGTTTTGGTAAAAAAATTATCCCTTAGAGTTTAATACTCTAGAAAATAAAGCCACGTCTCGCTATAACCCCGGGTTCATTATATCCCCGGTCTCCCCTACATGTAATTAGTAATTAATTACGGTTTTTACATTTTTTTGAAAAAGAAATAGCAATTATAATTAATTACAAAAATTTTGTACTTAATTACAATTGTTTGAGTAATTATGCCCATCTCTGGACTTAATAAAACTTAACAAAAATGGGAACATAATATGTGGGGAAATAAATTTGATAGGAATAAATAGCATTTCATGTGTCCATATATTTTTTTAAGCAGATACGTTTTAAGTTTTAACACCTTATATATCAAGTTTAAATTTCTCGTTCACTTGAGAAACTTTACATTGAGATTTTACATAGTTGAATATATTAAATGAATAAATAATTCATGTTTAAGATTAAAAGAAATTAGTAGTTTTTTTAAAATTATCTTTTTATGTTACCTGTCCCGATATTTTTTGATTTTAAAGTATCTACTATATAGCAGGGATCCAAACCGAACCATTAAACGGCTAAAACCGGTATTTTTTATCGAACCTATACCTCTAAAAATTTCTAGCCGAACCTGAACCGAATCGCTAAAATGCCTCTGAACCGGTTCGAGTCTCATAATTTTATGCTTATAAAATAATGTGTATGTTATTACTAGTAGTATATTGCAAAAATTTTAATTATATTCAAATTGTTTTAAAAATTATTATCAATCACATTTAATTGATAAGTATCAGTCATAATTTTTATAAACTTTAGTATAATGCCATTTTAAAACATTTTTTAAATATTTTAAACTTATAAATTATAATGTCCAGAGAAAAATTAAATCCAATATATAAATTATTTACATATAGTATTAACAATGACACATCAAATCTGATATCATACTGGCAGTGCCGGCTACCCAAGTTAGTGGAAAATGTTTTTCAACAATTAAATTTATATTATCTCCTTATAGATGTAATTTGAGTGAGACAAATTTTGAAAATATATTAATTGTGCGGTTTAATAAAAAATTTTAAGTAATTGTTCATATTAAAATTAATAAATGATATTTATTTGTTATATTTATAAAATAAACATTATTTTATAATGTGCAATTAATAAAAATGAAAGTTTTATGTATGTGTTTTTTAATTATGAAATAAAAAAATTCTTCCCTAAACATAAGTCGAATGTAGGTTTGAATACAAGTGTTCAAACCGGGTTTTAGAGGTTCGAACCGAACCGATATTTTTATTTTTGCGAACTGATCCTGAACCGTTATTTTAATCCGAACCTGAACCGATATTCGTTTCGGTTTGGACCCCTGCTATATTGTATATATTTTTATTTCGAAAAAGTGTATTGCATTTGTATTTTAAAACACAAGCTAACAAAGAATACATTTTCCTATCCCTGAATATAATATATAAACACGTTTTGTTAAATTTTATTATTATAAGCTTATGTTTCCTTCAAAATATCTTGATAAATTAAGTTATTAAATTATAGATTGCAAAATCTATTAATAAATAACAACAAAGTTATATTATAAGTAAATTATTGTTCAAAATATAAAAGAAAAATGATCAATTTATAACAATAACAAAATATGGTCTGATTGGGAGAATTTTAAATATCGACTCGGATTCATATATAAACCTCATAAAAACTTTTGGTATAATTATAAAAACGTAAATGATTATGTATAATTAAAAAATTGTCGTCAAGAATGAGGACAGGAATGTATGCAAATATTGATCTTTCACACTTTGTTGCCCATCTTCACCTTAGATATCTTAAATATTTTTTTTTCAAAGTAATTATTATATCCAAAAACAACGATTACAATTATAATACAATTTCCTTTTTAATTTAGAATAATCTTGATTTTCAAAACCAATAAAAATAATGGACAATTATATTGCTTCTCAGTAAGAAAGACCTTTCAAATTCTTTATAATAAAATATTATAGTGTTATAACTAAACAATTTAAAATTAGGATTCCCGGGAGAGTATTTGGATAATTTTAATTATAATAAATAAACATAATAACTTTCGAGATAAACAGTTAGCATAAAAAGGAATTAAAATTTTAAAAAAAGAATAAACCTGCAATATGGCCACAATAATACCGAACAAACCTAAAGCGCTGGCAAAAATTTCTATGACTAAAATTTTAACGAAAAGTGTGGGGTTTTGAGCGTCGGCCAAAGCAGCCCCGGACCCAACTATACCCACGCAAAGTCCGCAAAAAAGATTGCAGAAACCTGTGGTTAGGCCGGCTCCAAACATGGCGTAACCTGAAAGAATTTAATTTTTGTAAAAGTTATAGGTGACATTTATTTTCTCCTAATATAATTATTATTGATCTCCTATATTGTTTGATGTAATAATAAAATCAGTTATAAAACCTGATTCTTATATCTGGGACAAACACTCAGGGAGTTTAAGCAGGGATATTGAAGCCTCATTTTTTATAAATAACCCGAATGGCCTCTTAAATACCATAATCAAACCACATAAGCCACAATAATGGAATGAAATCCAGTTTTGAGGGGAATATGTTAATGATAGAAAAGTTGTTAAAGGGTAGACGATCCTGGATTCAATCCTAATTTTGTTAATAAATGAATCTGGATCTTTTATAACATAGATAAATAAAATAGAATTTTTTTAAAATAAAATTGAATAAAAGAGAAAGGTAGTTAGACCGAACCCTTTCAAATCCGATAAAAATTAGTTTGAATATATATGGATTATAGATACAACATAAACTATTTGAGCTATCTGAATTTTATATTGCCTGAGAATTGAGATTAAAGACGTGCAAAAATAAGCTTTTTGAATATTAACTAAAAGTTATCAATTAAAAACTAAATTAAAATATTAAATTTGCTAAAGTGTTAATGATTGATAATTAGGAAAAAAATCTAAAATCCAAATTTATGTTAAACAGGTTATCTTATGGCCACTATAAAATTTAAATTTAATATTTTAGAAGAACAAGGCTTCCATCTTTAAAAAAATTATATTATTTATTAACTGATTATCTGACGTTACCTTCAATAATTTACATGGAAAATGAATATCCATGAATATTAAAACAAGTAAAATGTCCAGAAATATAGTGATATCAATTGCAGGGCATTAAAAAGCTTCCAAACAATAAATAATAAAAAAACATATTATTGCATTAAAATATTGATATATAACGCTAAGTATTTTTAGATATTAATTGCGTTAATTCCTGTAGATATTTGTTTGCCGCCAAAATTATTGAAGGAAACAACAATGTTTTCAAAAAAAGTATAGTTTTATAAATTTATTTTTAGATCTTGTGTTTGTATATCTATTTTTCTTATATTACAAAATATATATGTGAAAAGGAATATGAAGCGTTTATTAGATTAAATTGCAATTCGATCATGAAATCAATGTATTTGAATTTAGCCGCGTTTTTCTTTTCCTATAAATAGTGGCCCGTAGTTGAAGATTTTACTCGCTGCCTCTTGATGCCGAATAAACCGACATGGCAAATTTTTACTATTTCTTGCCTCTCCACTGATTTTTTAAACTAATTTTTATGGTAATATCCAAAAAAGAGGATTGTGTATAGCGTTGTTAAACGACTTTAATCAATTCATATTAACTTGAATAATCAATATCAGGGGAGCCCGAGACAGGCACGGAATAAAAGAATATTCTGGAAAAGGTGAGCCATGCAGATTTTTAAATATGTACACGCTAATTATATAAATTATAGGGTGGAGCCAGGGGGAAAATTTTCAGGCCCCCCTTTTTTATATAAAATTATTACTGGCCAGTTCAGGCGGGCTAGACACTTGACGGTTAGAGCAAATATAATTATGTGCTAGGTAGGAAAAAATTTTCACTTTACCATTTAAGCCAGTTCTCTCCTTAATATAACTTAATCGGTTTAGTAGATATATCATATAATGGATCCTTTAATATTTTTGCTGCTCATATTTATAATTTCCTTTTAAAATAATGTACAAAATACAGCAAAAATTATTCAAAAATTCAGGATGGCCATAAAATAATCAAAAAATCTATACCAGGTTTAAAGTTAGGCATGATCAATCTGGGCTTGGTCATGTTTGAAAAAATATATTTTAGAAAATCATTATATTCTGCTGTATTGCACACCATGTAACTTATTCCAGGTTCTACAAATTTTTGAACAATTGCATTGTAATTGAAGAAACGATATTATATATTTTCAACTTCGCTTTAACTATTTCTAAAAGGCTGATTTTTTGGGCAGTATATTTATTACCAAAATTTTAATCTTTTGGGCAGTATTTATAAAATATTGAGCAGTAAAAATAATAATAAAGTTGATTTGTAAACTATAGTTTTTCATGATTTATTGGAAAATTTAGTATTTATACAAATATCTCTTTTTATTATAAGTTTTAAAGTATATTATATGAAAAATTAAGATTAACATATCAAATATTAAAATATTAGTAAATTAACAAATAAAACATAAAAAATGAGAAATATTATGGATTTGCGTTTTTATTGCACGTTATTTCATTGAGCAAATTTAAATGAAAATAAATGCACATAAAAATAATTTAAATAAGATAGGAGAATTGCAGATTCCTTTGCCCTAATTATCTCAGTTTTTGGATAGTTTTATAAACCAGATTGAATTTTTAACAAATTTATTTTTTATTGATTAATTGCTTTCAAATTATGTGAAAGGATAGAATTAAATGTATTATTCAATTGATATTAGTCCAATATATTCTGAGGTTCTTGTTTTTAAAGCAATTATTGGATTTGTCAGATATTAACCAATTAACAACACTAGATATTGCATAGTCAATTTTTCTACTATTTTCATACAGGGTTGCCAGGTCAAAATTTTTAAATTGAGGGAGATTTTTATTTTGAGAGAAAAATAAAATAACCCTTCTCCCTCTTCATTAATTCTTAAATTATTTTATATAGAATAATAACAAAGTAAGTAACGTTTTGTAATATTTTTCAAAATAGGTAATAGAGAATACATGCTCGTATATTTTTTCCAAGTATGTGGGGGGGGGGATATCGTTATTTGAAAAAAATTGTAATTATTTCTCCAATGCTTTTAGACCACTTATAAGTAAGTATTCTGGAGATTCATAAAAAATAGAGGGCATAACAATCTCCTCAAACAAAATATCAATATATAGCATCGAGTGTTATTAAAAAGTCGAGTTCACCCGTCCGACTATGTAGTCGCTAGTCGACTAACTAATGTCGAGAACATGAGTTTTCAACTTAAGTCAACTAGAGGAAAAATATTTCGACTTAGTATTATAGACTCGACTCAATCGAAACTGAGCCAAGTTTTGGGTCGCAAAAATCGACCAAAAACTGACTTGAGTTATGAACTCGAATAGTGAAATCAAGTTGACTAGAGAACGAATATTTCAAATTAATCTGAGTCGTGAATACTGTCGACTAGAGGACAAGTATTTCAAATTAGTTATTATTAATTAAGATATTTGTTCTGTTTTTTATATTTTTTTAATTTAGATTTCCAACTTTGTAATATATTCTCAGAATTAAGGCGTTTATCAGATTTCTCTTGATGATATGGATACACCGCTCTATTCTGTTAGTATGCATCACGAATTGATATTATTTATTATAATTTTTAGGGATTTGAATTTCTTGACCTTATGAGAGATGAGATCAAGGATTATCTTACTACGAATACACTAGATTGGTGGGAAAATAGCGTTGTCTATCCTACCTTGTCGTTGACTCACAGCTAATTATCCAATTGAAGAATTTTAAACAAATGAACATGAGATTTTGTTTTCTACTCTTAGATGCCTTACTTAAAGGAATTGAAGATATGTAAATTAATAATAATAATTTAATCAATATTTAATAATTCTAGGTTTATTGGGACTATTTGAAGATGAAAATATTATAGCAACTATGCTCCATCCTTTTTTTAAACTTGATTGAACATGGTTACAAAATAAAAAAAACAATTAATACAAAGATTAGTTGATGAATTATCAGGTCTTCAACTGATTGCAAACAAATAACCTGCGAAAAAAACAAGTAATTTAATATCCGATTTTTTTCAGTATCCTACAGCAGATAAGATTGTTAAAAATGATTTAAATTTTGATACTCAATAAATTTTAAATAATTTTTTCAAAAATGAATGTCGAGATTTTAGTATTTCTAAAGAATATCCTGATATAATATTGTACTCATAAAATATTAACACCACAATCCCTTCAAGCGCCCTGGCAGAAAGACTTTTTAGTGTAGCTAAAAATGTCTTTACAGATAAAAATTTTGAAAATTATTACTGAAATTTAATAATTATTTATAATAATTTAATAATATATATTTATATATATAATATTAAAATCGAAAAATCATTATTTAAGTTATATTTTGATAAATGTGATATAGTCAATAAATTCTTTGGCTCATTTTATGAATTTTCACAATAGAATCCTAATTTTATGCAATAAAAATTTAATAAAAATGTATCTGTATCTAAATACATTTAAAAAATTGTATCGGTATCTAGATAACTTTTTAGACGATGTATTTGTATCTATATCTAGATCCATTTATAAAGTATCTTTTAATAACTCTGAAAAATAATAAATATACAATCGTGTGGATATCAGTGGAAATTTTTTGATGTAATAATAATTCATATTTTTTAAATTTAACAAATATTTTTTTCCCTTTTTTATGGACTACATAAATTTTACCGAGATCATAATTTTTATACAAGAACCATGACTTTTTTAAAAAATCATGAGCTTCTTATTAATCACACGTGTTGTTATTATAGCATCAAAATGAAGAAAAATGCAGCATCTTTAATTTTTAAAATTTATTTTATTAATTAGGCACTTATTTGAATATATTAATCTTCCTGTGAACAAATCATCTATATATCTTTTTCTGTCCAGGACTTCTATAAGTTACTGTCTCCCAAAGTACTATTTGAAAATGGTAAAATATATTTATAATATTTGTCAATAAGTGTTTTTAGGAATGCAATATTTAGAAAAATTTGCGCCATAAACAGGCAATATCTTTTGAAAAAATAGGGTCCTGGGTATGTTATCGAAATAGATGAATCTTATATTTTTAAAAGATAAAATAACACAGGTAGGATTTTAAAATCAAATGCCATTTGGGTTGTAGGTGGAATATCAAGGAATGATGGAAAATATTTTATTGCTGAAACTGAAAAAAAAGAGAAAGAGACCCCTCTGGGTATAGTAAGCAGTCCATATTG